TCCTTGACTGGCTTGCTTGGGTTGAAGTTCTTTCCTGACAAGGCACGTGTTATTTCGTATAGTCTCTTCATGTTGTTTTGACTTGCTGCTGTCTCTGCCTCCTCTGTCAAGCTGTGTACAAACTCTTTCTTGTCTTGTCTGGCACTCCTCTTCACTTCTCGGTTCGATTCCCAGTACGCTGCTCTAAGTTCTGACTTCTCTTGTTGGTCCTGACATCTGTTTATCTGCTGCTTTAGTTCTCTCCTCTTTTCAATCTTCTTCCACGTTTCCCTTCCTTTGTACACAGGGCTTAATTTGTAAACTAATTGATGCCGGAATGCAAATAGTGGGCGGGCCGGTGGGGTGGTGGTGGGGGGAAGGGGGGGGGTGCGGAAGGGGAGGAAATGGAGGGGGCTTGTGGGTCCTCCTCCTCTTAAATTTTTGAATAATGTAGATGCTATGTCCTGCATTTTGGTGTATTTTATTGAGTTATTAAACATCTATGTTTACCTACATAAACACGAGCAGCTCTATTTCTGTCAAGGCAAGCATCTTACCCCCCCATCCCCTCACCTCACAGCTCAGAGCCGACTCTTCTCTGTTGAATTCACTCTCATCCTCGTTGTTGTCCTCCTCCACAAGTAAAACCTCAGGGTGTGTGGCGGCTGCCCGCGGAGCCCACCGGCTCTTGCCCGCATGCAAAAGCCTGGTTAGCTCCGCACTCACTGGCCATAACACTCGCTCCTCGTCCAGTATCTTCATTTCCACGGTCTACATGTGCTTCGATTCTCGGTTTAGTTGGACAATAAAAAGCCCTTTTTGTAAAAAAAAATTAAAGTAAATTGGACTGTGACTGTCATTTCAACACGTAGATTTGAAAAAATGGTGCAGTTGTTTTATGTCACGTACGTACGTCACATAATAACAATATATTTTTCTCGTATTTTTAATCAAAATTTTATATAATGACCCACTACTTGAATTATAAAGCTGATTTGCAATTTTATTCTACTGTTTCATTATATTTTTGAGTTTTTTAATAAAAATGTGCAATGACTTTGGACTTTTAGGAGCGAAGATTTGAGTTACCGGATCCAAGCAAACTGTTTCTGCACCCTGTCAAAATAAGTGAGTTCCCGGATCTTGTTCCGGCAGGATCCGGCTCAAATTGCAATGTTGTAAACCAATCAATGCGAAACGCAAATAGCAGGTGGGTGGCGGGGTGTGGGGGCGGGATATCTGGGGTTCTTCCCCCTGAAAATTTTGAATAAAGTAGATGGGATTTCCTGCATTTTAGTGTGTTTTAATGTGTTGTTAAACATCTACGTTTATCTACATTTATAAACACTCCACTTCTGTCAAGCCCCCCCCCCCCACCCCCAACTTGATGGAACTGTCAAGTAAGTCAACTCTCCCTGTTCCTTGTTGTCCGAATCCACATGTGAAACCTCCAGGCACCTGCCTGCAGCTGTGAGCTCCTGCCCACTCAGCACTTCTCTCCTTTAGGGGTGGAGATTTCTTTAAGGGTAGATGCAGAAATGCTTCACTTGAAGAGGCAGATCGTATGCTGTTGTGTTTAAAATGAGTGTTTATGTAATTATTTTCAGTTTATCCAATATAAGTTTTGTTCATTCAAGGCAGTCATATTCGTTCAAAACTTTATTATTAGTAAGCCTGAGAGTTACAGGATCCAAGCCAGATTCTAGCAAACAGTTACAGGAAGCACCCTGTCAAAATAAGAGAGTTCATGGATTTTGTTCCGGCAGGATCCGGCTCATATTAAGCCCTGTCTGTACAGAAACATGTTGGTGATAAGCCATAATGTTGGTATATTGAAGGTTTTCGTATAGTTCCAAAAGACACAACAAAAAATCTGTTTATAAACACATTTTCTATGGCGTTATGAAGACAGATGTTAATGATATTTCCTCAGCCTAAATGAGTGAAATGAGGTTGTCCATCACGTCAGATTCAGTCTTAAACTTCATCATATTCATTTATATTTAAGGTACGCACGACTGAAAACTCAGTGCATAACGATGAAGTACGCTGTCGTCAAATAATGTTCAGACTGTAAAAACACTATATTTTATATACTTGCTTCTTTTATACAGTGTAGACGGCTGAACGTGAACATTTTGAACGCAACTTCTGCTTCTCCAAATACTTTGTTTAAAGAGTTAACAACATGTAAAATATTTTAATTTCTTAATCTTTCCATAAAGCATTTCAAAATTACTGAATTATCCCTTTAAGTGGTTTACAAAGGTTGAATGATATTAATCATAAAGAATGTGGCGATAATGTTCTACCTCAGAGCGACATGTAATTATTGATTCCTTAACGTTTAGTTTTTTACTTGATTATTTCACAGTTTGTGTGTCTGTGTGTTCCAGAACCACAGGCATGTCCTCCAGACAGGACCGTGGCTGAATCCATCAGAGCAAAGTTCTCCTTTCCAGGTGAGGTGTTCAGAAAAAAACTACAAGTTGATGAGGACCACATGCTAGGATTTACTAAAATATTCTTCATCTTGATTTAAATCCTTCTGAGGAGTTTTAAATTAGGAGGTTTCACTATATTTTCCTTCTAAAAGTAATCACATGTGGGTTAGTTAACAGGAAAACTGACGAGAAGGGTCAGGTCATGACCCAAAGGTAAACGTGGACAAAAACGTTTTTGCCTGAACAGACAGGGTTAAAAATGTAATGTTCCTTTTGAAACAACCTATTTTTGATTGAGAGTCAGAGAGTCAGAGAGTCAGAGTTTCTTTATTGTCATTCGCACCTCATGTGGTACATGTGGTGGAGCGAAATTATGTACACAGGGTCCCAGTTACATCCAACAGTAAAATGTATAAGAAAAACAGTGACTGTGGGAGTGGGAGTGACTGTGGGACTCAACAGTGATTGAGTGACTGTGACCAAATCTACACAGAAATGAATTGTTGTGATTTTCTTCAGACATTTAACTGTTAATTTTTATATAGCTTTGGAGCTGTTCCTCAAACTGAATGTTTTACATTTTGTATCCTCAGTGTATTAGTGATTAATTTGATTAAAGTTATTTGAGTTTTTTTAAATGTACTCTTAGTAAAGATATTTGTCTCAACATCAAACAACAGAAGTCAGTTTTCACAGCTTTAACCTAGTTCTAAAAATGTTAAATCTGGTCCTCTGGACATTCAAACAAACAAAAAACAAAACAAAGCAAAAAAATCTAGATACGTTTCGTCTTTCATCCGAGAGACTTCCTCAGTCTGAGGTGCTGTATTCAGCTCAGTCTCTTAAATAGCACCTTCTCAGAGTGGATCAACCAGTTTGCTGCTGACAACCAAAACCAGCTGCTCACATGGTTAAGAAGGACCATCAGCCTAACAATGGATCATTAGCACACTGATGGCTGTTTACTATTCACAGGGGGTTGAGTGATACTAGCAATCACAGCATTGTAAGAGGGGGACAGTTGAACCTGGAGGCCTCCACCCCTGTTTAATGATGGATGATTTCTTTTCACAAAGATGGCCTCCTTTACTCCTCTCTCAAACCATCGTTCCTCTCTATCCAGGATGTGCACATCTTCATCCCTGAAAGAGTGACCGCTGGCCTGGAGATGAGTGTAGACCGCAGAATCCTGGCCTGATGATGTTGATCTTCTGTGCTGGGCCATCCTTTTGGCCAGTGCTGTTTAGTTTCCCCAATGTAAGACTGATCACAGCCCTCCTGACACTGAACAGCATACACAATATTACTCTGTTTGTGCCGGGGGACTGGATCTTTGGGATGAACCAGTCTTTGTCGTAATGTATTTTGGGGATTAAAAGCCACTGGGACGTTATGTTTAGAAAATAAACGTCTCAGTTTCTCTGATACTCCCTCAACATACGGATGTTGAAACTGAGATGTTTATTTTCTAAGCACAACGTCCCAGTGGCTTTTAAAACCCAAAATGCATTACGGCAAAGACTGGTTCATCCCAAAGATCCAGTCCCCCGGCACAAACAGAGTAATGTTGTGTATGCTGTTCAGTGTCAGGAGGGCTGTGATCAGTCTTACATCGGGGAAACTAAACAGCCACTGGCCAAAAGGATGGCCCAGCACAGAAGATCAACATCATGCCAGGATTCTGTGGTCTACACTCATCTCCAGGCCAGCGGTCACTCTTTCAGGAATGAAGATGTTCACATCCTGGACAGAGAGGAACGATGGTTTGAGAGAGGAGTAAAGGAGGCCATTTTTGTGAAAAGAAATCGTCCATCATTAAACAGGGGTGGAGGCCTCCGGGTTCAATTGTCCCCCTCTTACAATGCTGTTATTGCTAGTATCACTCAGCCCTCTGTGAATAGTAAACAGCCATCAGTGTGCTAATGATCCATTGTTAGGCTGATGGTCCTTCTTAACCATGTGAGCAGCTGGTTTTGGTTGTCAGCAGCAAACTGGTTGATCCACTCTGAGAAGGTGCTATTTAAGAGACTGAGCTGAATACAGCACCTCAGACTGAGGAAGTCTCTCGGATGAAAGACGAAACATATCTAGATTTTTTTTGCTCCTTTTTGTTTTTTGTTTTTTTGAATGTCCAGAGGACCAGATTGAACTTTCTTAGATTTTTCTACCTGGATTATTGAGCATGCATCAGGATACTTTAACCTAGTTGTTTTACATTTAAAGGATCAAACCAGCATCAGTTTTAATCAATTTGACAGACTCCAGTTTTACTGTGTACCTTCCCAATATAGTATGTTAGATTTATTATAAACCTTATTAACATTATTATTCATGTCCTTTACCCAGTCTAGATCTTTGGTCACGACTCTGCGGCAGATAAGTTGTTGATACTGAGCAGGCTCTGAACTCAGAAGTGACGTCCTTCAACAAGGTGGAGCCTTCACTTCATTACATTTCTTCTGTATAATTTCCAACATCAAGTAGGTCTTGCACCTGTCACTTTAAAAACTACAAGTCAGGATCTTATAATAGTGATTTGATGTGCATTATTTTGTCCCTTCTGTGTTTTAGGTGACGGACGTCTTGTCCAAGCCCTCTTTTATAGCAGCAGACCAGGCTTACAGTTTCTTGTCAGGGGGCTGGAGCTCCCTGGGCCAAAGCCAGGAGCAGCAGCCAAGTAAAACCCTTACTGGATATTGTCTGAGCCCAAAAGCCCTCTGCCCTGACATGGATGAAGACACAGAGTTAGAGTACGTCTCTGAAACAGCAGACGTACCATCGCCCTTTGAGCTCCTAGAACCTCCGACCTCTGGAGGGTTTCTGAAGCTGTCCAAACCCTGTTGCTACATCTTCCCTGGAGGCAGGGGAGACTCTGCATTGTTCGCGGTTAATGGATTTAACATCCTGGTGGATGGAGGATCTGAGAGGAAGTCTTGCTTCTGGAAGTTGGTTCGACACCTAGACAGGATCGACTCTGTTTTACTCACCCATATTGGTGCAGACAACCTCCCCGGCATAAATGGATTGTTCCAGAGGAAGATCGCAGAGCAGGAGGAAGAGCGTAACCAAGGATCTGGCTCCAGAGGTAATGGTGACTGGATGAAGAACCTGATCTCCCCTGAGCTTGGGATTGTGTTTTTTAATGTTCCAGAGAAGCTAAGGATGCCAGAGCCCTCACTGAAGGTCAAACGAAGCATTGAAGAAGCATCTCTGACATTACAGTACCTCAACAAGCTTGGCATCACACCTGAGCCGCTTCACAGGGTAGTCAGCAACACTATCGAACCTATCACACTGTTCCACAAACTGGGCGTAGGAAAGTTAGAGATGTATGTCTTGAACCCTGTAAAAGAAAGCAAAGAGATGCAGTTCCTGATGCAAAAATGGGCAGGAAATAGCAAAGCCAAGACAGGAATTATGATGCCAAATGGAAAAGAAGGAGAAATTTCTGTCCCCTATTTGACATCAGTCACTGCATTAATTGTTTGGATACCACATCGACCAACAGAAAAGATAGTCCGGGTGCTGTTCCCAGGAAATGCACCACAAAATAAAATCTTTGAGGGCCTTGAGAAACTGAAACACCTAGACTTTCTGCGATACCCAGTCGCCACTCAGAAAGACATCTCATCTGGTGCGCCACTGCCGATCGTTAAACAAGCTAAAACGAGATCAAGAACGGATAGCAAAGAGAGTCTCAAATCTTCTCCCAAACTACACTCTAAAGCAACCAAAAAGGAAACCATTGGACAGGAGGAAGAAATAAAGAGTGACACCACTAAGGAGAATAAAGTTGAAAAGAAAGAAGAGAAGAAATTCAAAAGTGACAGTCTGAAAGCCACCAAACAGCAGAAAAACAGTGAAGTGGCCCCTGGAGCAGCTAAGACAGCAAAAAAGAAGACATCCAAGGAAAAAACTTCCAAGCAAGAGACAGGATCTAAGATGGATGAAAAGAAAGACAAAGAGAAAAAAGAAACCAAAAAAGAAAAAGTAAAGAAAGACGAAAGTATAAAAAAGCAAGAGAAAAAGGAGAGTAATGCAAAGGAGGACAAAAAGAAAGACTCTGTGAAACATGAACTAAGAAAAATCACCAAACCTGACTTGAAGCCACTCACCCCTGAAGTGAGAAAGACTCTGCACAAAGCCAAAAGTCAGGCCAAACCCAAGACAGACAAAAATAAAATGGTTAAAGAGGAAGCACATGAGAAAAAGCCAGTTCCCAAGAACATTCCTGAAGACATTGCAGCAGCAACACAGATCGACAGACACATCGTATCTTCACCCGAGGACCTCACAGAGGACTTTGAGGCTCTAAGACAGGAGGAGATGTCCAAACAGAAGACTGATTCTGTCCAGAGTGATGTCATGTCAGGATTGCCAGTGATCGCTGATACTGAAGTTTCTTCCTCAGCTACTGATATACAATCCACTGCACCCACCGCTCCCTTCAACCACGAAGAAGAAACCAAAGACAAAGGTGCATCAGAACAGGGTGCAGCTACACAAAAGATGGCTGTGATTGAAGGTTTTGATAAAAAGTATGAGGAGGACAAAATGAAGAAGTATGACAAATATTTAGTAAAGGAAAATATATCAGACAGAACAAAGAAAAGTGAGAGCTCAGAGGAAGAAGGGGATGTAATTGAAAAGGCTGAGCTAGAAGATATAGAAGATGATAAGATCTTAAAGTTTAAAACAGATGAGGGAAAAAAGGACAAAAATGGAGAGAAGTGGGACACCAAACCAACTGGGCAAACATCCTTAACAGCTGCAGCATCAGTAACACCCTCCGCCTCTGAGCAGCTCTCTTTCATTCAGGATGAGACCATCCCTGGGTATTCAGAGACTGAGCAGACAATCTCCGATGAAGACATCCATGAAGACACAGAAGACAGGATCCCTCAGCTGCGCTATGATGTGGCTGCTTATGATATTTCTGTTCCTGACATTCCTGGTACCTTTGACACCATGCATGGTATTAAAGAAATGAAGAGCTCTGCAGTTTTGGAAGTTGCAGATGTTAAGCCCAAAGCTTTTATTGGAGTCCATGAGCCTGAGTTTGTACCTTACTCTGCCATCATTGCTGCTCCTCTTGCTGAGGAGGAGCACATCTCCTCTGCAACATCTATCACAGAGTATGACAAACTGTCTTCCTTTGCCACATCTGTGGCTGAAGACCAGTCGATTGCCTCAGTGACGGCACCTCAGACCGAAGACGCTGTAAGAAATTCACTCTTGTTGGACACCATCAACAGCGCTCCATCACGTGCAGAGGCCGCCCAAGGAAAGGACTACCTTTACTCTGCAGGAACCATCTCTCCCACCTCTTCACTTGAAGATGACAAATGCTTTAAGTCTCCTTCCTCTGACGAATATCAGCCCAACATTCCAGAGATAGAGGCTGAGTCGAAGGTGAAATCAGTCCCCGAAGAAGAGGAAGACGATGAAGATGAGGACGAGGATCAGACTCCAAATGTTGACATCCCTCTGAGTAAACTTCAAGAGGGCTATGAACATGCCGCCTCCATGATGCGCCAGGAAAGAGAAAAATTCTCTCCTCCAGTCAGTCCGGTTTTGGTTATGAAGGAAAACCAGCCTCTCGTTGGTACAGACACATTCATGACTCTCACTGAGACAAAGCGTGCTTCACCTCCTCCATCTTTCTCCTTTGTCCCAGAGTCCCACTCCAGGCAAGAAAGTGAGGAAAGATGCTTAAGTCCTGAGGACAGCACCATGAAACTAGCTTCACCCACGCAGTCTATGCCCACAAGTAGCAGCTACTCTCCAACAGAGGAAAAAACATTCAGGACAGGAGAAAAAGAGGAAGGAGTGACTGATGTGAAAGCTGACATCCAGAAAACTGAAAGATCAGTCACCATCTCAGACAATACCTCCTGTATTGGCTTGCCAGGTGACAAAACCACATTTGAAGTGTCTGAGGATTCCAATGAAGACAGTGAGGATGAATATTACATTCAAAAGGAATTACAGCCAACTGTAAAAGCAAAACTCATGGAAGCAAAAGAGGGTTGCTTTTTAGATGATGACTTCTTGTTTGAAGGGAAAATGTCAAAAACAGAAACAGAAGTTAAAGGTTCAGACAAGTCAGGAGTGTCCTTTAGCACAACAGAGAAACCAAAACCACAAGAGATGTTTTCTGATGAAGAGGATGAAAATAATGACAATTTCCCAAGTGGGACAGGAACAAACCCTTTTTCAAATGATAAAGACAAAGTTGAGAAAAAAGAAGTGACCATCAAAGAGCCAGAGAAAAGTGTTCATTTTAGTCTTCATGATTTTCCAGAGAAGGAGGGCAGAGAAAGGGTAGCTTATACAAGACAAGACACACCGTACGTGCACGGTAAAACATTCTCTTATGGAGATCTTTATGACAGCAAAACCAGCTCAGAGGAATCTGATTTGTATCACCAAGACTCTGACGATAAAGTGGAGCATGAACCTGCAAAAAGAGAAGTGGATTTGCCCAAACATGAGCCTTTGGCACAAGTCAAGATCATGGACAAGAAGACAGAAAAGGAATCCACTACATCTTCATGGCTGGACTCTAAGACAGATTCTGCTACTGGTCATTTTGAAAAAGAGACCAAAGAAAAAGAAACACTTAAATACTGTCAAGCTAGCAATTTCCCATCTGTGGCTGACAGACCTGAAGCTTTGACCACTTCTTTGTCATCAGAACAAAACTCCATTTTGAAAAGCCAAACCGATAGCACAAAGTCTTTGGCATTCTCCACAGTGACATCTGATATTTTTGGCTACAGCGAGAAAGAAGCATGTTTAGAGGTGAATATGCAAAAGCTAACTGCAAGGGATGAAGAGGATTATGATGATGATGTAGTCATTGATGATGATGATGATGATGAGGAGGAGGAGGAGGAGGAGGAGGAGGAGGAAATGGAGGAGGAAGATGAAAGCAGTGCTGATTCTGATATTGAGAAAGGTGCCAAAGAGAAGTCTGAGAAGGAAGTAAAAGGTCCAGTAAGTCAAATGTTTAGCTCAGATAGACCCGAGTTCATGGTTTCTATGGTTGGATATGGTTTTAACAGTCAGGGGAAGCTGACTGTCAACAACAGCAGCTTAAGTTCTCTTCTAAAGACTGAGGACGAAACTAAGACTGAATCCACATCTATCAGTGGAGAGCCAATGGATTTACGAGCCACAAGTTTCTCTGCTTATTCTTCAGGATTTGAATACTCACACGAAAGAGACAGGAAAGAGCCATTCTTACTAAATCAGACTAGAGACACAGGAAAACAAGATTTTACCTTGAAGTCCAGAGAGGACAGTTGTTACCAAAGCGACAGAGACAATCTTGAATTTGAGAAGCAGAAGGCACCTGATGTACTGAGAAAGAGCTCTCTGGAAACTAGTTTTCAGTATACAACCACAGCTGGCCCTGGGTACTCCTCCTCTTCAGCCTACAGCTACTCTTCTTCCACCTCAGGCTCCCTCTCCACCAGCCGACAATTCGGAGAGGAGCTAGAGACACCTGCTTCTGCTGAGCCCCTCTTTGAGTACTCTTCCTTTAAAGAAGAACAGTCCTTGGTCATGAATTCTCCCTTCTCCAGCTCAGCTGGCACCAAAGATGACTATCTGGAAGTTTCAGAGAAACAAATCACTGTAACAACCACAGCAGAATCTAGTTTACCTAGTTTCTCACACATCAGTCCATCTGAGGAGTTCAAAACCTTCTCTTCACTCTCATCCACTGTTGTTTCTGAAGACAAGAAGGAACATACAGCTCCAATAGGTGGAGTTCCTGATAAAGGTTCTGTGTCTGACTGCTTCTATAAGCCTGAGTGGTCTAAAGAAACCAAGCTGGACACAGCTGCTGGATTTTCAGCCTCAGCAAGTCCTTTCTTAGACTTCTCCATTGACAAAGAGGCAGCCAGTGCTGCTCTGTATGGCGTCACTTCCTCTCCTCGCCCAGACATTGAAGGCAAGCACTACTTTGAGGAGACTGACAGTAGTGAGGAGGAGGAGGAGGAATATGTGCATGAAATTACTCGCAGGTCTCCTTCCAGTGGTTTGACTGGAAGCCTCCCATTTTCTGGTAAGCCCATCACTCCAGCATCAAGTGAAAAAACGAGCGATGCACTTCCAGATATTCTTGGCTCCTACATGTCAGCACCTCTTCACACCAGCAAGTCAGACAAAACAAAAAGTCCCACAGAGGTCATTGCAAGCACCAATCTCCTTGTTGGAGTAGCAGCTTCAGGCTCAGCCAAACTGGAGTCCAGAGAGGGTGCAACAAGTTATGTCAGGAATTCATATGAGTGGGAAATGTCAAAGCCTCAGATGGGTATGGTACCTGGAGATTCCCCTCCTCATTACCGACATGATGATGAATTTGAGGAAGAGTGTGAGATGGAGCCAGCGCACCCTGCTCGTCCACTTTCACTTGTTTCAACTGATCAGCCATTCCACTCACAGTTTTATGCAGAAGAGTGCAGCCAAGGTGAGCAGGATGATGATGAAGATGATGATGATGACAGCAATCAGGATGCACCGATAGGAGCAACCTCCTCTTATACGAGTCGCACCTCTCCAGGATATTCATCCTCAGAGTACAGGCAACGCAAAGAAGACCTGTCGCCCTCCTTCATCAACCCCTGCATGCGTCAGTTTTCCACAGATGAGGATGATGAGGAGGAAGGTTGCAGGAGTGATCAGTCACAGGAGGGTCATGAGCATGACCTGTCAGTGAAGAAAAGGGCTCACAAACAGCCCCATTTGCATCAGTCCCACAGTAGGGACAGTAGCTCTTTGCATCAAGTTGGTGGGCTGTCAGCAGGGTTTGGTCTGGCTACAGAGGATACTCCACCAACCTCTATCAGTGAGCCTCTAGGCTCTCAGTCGGACTCTGATGTCCCTCCAGGCACAGAAGAGTACCCGTCAGTTGCTGGTGAAGGCAACATGGACTCGGATGAAGATGGAGATTACATGCCTGTTGATAAATCTACCACAGGAGGAGGTAGCCACCACTCTGCCTCCAGGAGGAACCATGACCCTCCTCCTGCTCCTCTCATGGACCCTTTCCCTCACCCTCCTCACCCAGATGTTTGCATGGTGGACCCAGAATCTTTGGACAAAAGCTCTCTTAAGAAAGAACCCAAAGCAAAAAGCTTGAAGAAGTCTTCGGGGAAAACCAAATCAGCATCTCCAGCTAGGCGCAAGAGATCTCCCATGCCCGTCAAACAAACGCCGTCTCCACGCAGTGCCTCGTTGAAGAAAAAAGAGACTGACAAAAGTTCACGCATGTCTCGTCTGTCAGATGTTCAAGGCACCAAAGAGGATGACCTCTCCAGATCGAGCTACAACCCCGGCAAAGGGCTAACAAATGGTGTCAAGAGCAGCTCAGGTGAGCAAATGTGATGTAAAGGTTACCTGTTTGGATCAGTTTACAGTAAAAAAATAAAATAAATGTCTGCCACTCTGAACATGTTCAAAATCCAGGACGAGCCCCCAATGGGGCCAAGATGGTGTAGATGTAGGGCAGCCAACTTGGGACCAGAAAGTCTATTTGACTCCCTGCCATGCCCGCATGTCGTTGTGTCCCTGAGTAAGACACCTAATCCCTAACTGCTCCCCGGGCGCTTACATAGCTGCCCTCTGCTCCATCAGCGTGAATCTCATGTGTGATGGATTAAATGCATAGAGCTAATTCCATCTTTGTATGGGAACATACAATGATGACAACACATAACACTTACTTAAAATGTCAAGTATCAAAATCAAAGTAAAGAGTTGATGCAACCTGTTGCTTCCCTTAGTGATATTATTATTATTTTTTTGTAGACTGAACTGGACTGATTTGAACTGAACAATAATTGAAGTAATATGATTATTCTTAACAGGCTTCAGTTAAATTGAATTAAACTGATTTGTCTTTTTATTTAAACGAACTAGACAATACAAATGACTTGAACTAGAGTTTTGGTTCTACTTGGAGCTGTGCTGTGAAGGACTCTGCTACCACCACACTTAGGGGTAGATACCCACAAGTTTATAAAGAACATACATTTTAAAATGTCGATGCTGATTTTATTAACGTCAACCTGGAGTTCATTGTAGATGATTGATCTTTGGTTGAATCCAAGTCTAGACTAAAATTAGACCAAACATGACCTGAAAATTTAAAGTTTGTCATCATATCTTTTCTTGGACACAAATACATCCCCTGTTTTGCTCACCCATTTTATCATCTAATCAGGCATCCATGACCACAAATAACTTTATCTTCCTGCCTGTGCAGCTGACGGAGCCATATTTGTGTTTCCTAAGATACATTGGTTGTGGCGGCCATCTTGAATGCCTCCTTTATCTGTCCAATGGTTCACGAGACAGAGTAGATAGAAAGATACATTTTGCAGAATCTGTTAAATTTCAGAGTATGAGCTGTGGATAAGAGATATAACTTAAAAAGCTCTTCAGAAAACAAGTTTACCTCCCCTGATCTTTAAAGTACATTAAAATAACTTGTTGTTAATTGGTGTTATAGAAATAAAGCAACCCTGTGGTTCTGGGTTTATTTTTCCAGGCTCTCAGAAATCCGGCTCTCCAGCTGCTCTTGGCCTTCCCATTTATGTGGACTTGGCCTACATTCCTAACCACTGCAGTGCCAAGAATGTGGACCAGGAGTTCTTCAAACGCATTCGCTCTGCCTACTACGTAGTGAGCGGAAATGATGCCGCCGGGGGTGAGCCGAGCCGAGCGGTCCTTGATGCTTTGTTGGATGCCAAAGCTCAGTGGGGATCAAACTTACAGGTATTTCTTAACATTAAACCCCCCTACCTAAAGACTTTGGCCAGTGTCTAAAATTTTAATACTGAACATACACTATAGAACACAGACTGCAACTCATTTAAGCCTTGTCCAGAATAACAAGTAATATTTTAGATACCCTATATTGCCATTTGAGGCAGCATGGTGGCTCATTTGGCAGAGCTGTTGCCTCTCAGCAAGAAGGTCGCTGGTTCAAATCTCGGCCCGGGACCTTTCTGGGTGGAGTTTGCATGTTCTCTTTGTGCATGCATGGGTTTTATCTGGGTACTCTGGTTTCTTCCCACAGACCAAAAACACACAATTTAGTCTGATTGGTAACTCTAAATTGTCCCTAAGTGTGAGTGAGAGAGTGAATGGTTGTTTGTCTCATTTGTCTCTGTGTCCCTGTGATGGACTTGCGACCTGTCCAGGGTGTACCTCGCCTCCCCTCCTCTCACACAGTGATAGCTGGACATGGGCAACAGTGACCCCTGCGACTCAAAAAGGAAGAAGGCGGAAAGATAATGGATGGATGGATATATCACCATTTGTATCATCTTTGTTACACAAGTTTCTCTGACCTCTAGTTTATCAATATGATCAATACTTACCATAACAACCTGTTGTATATGATCTGAGACGTGTATTCTGTCCCCTAGTGAACTATCATTCTTGTGGTGGATGGGTGTAGTTTTGGACCACATGATGTCGGTAGTGATTTTAAGATTACCTGTTTGCTCATCTGGTGAGTTTGTTAGTGAGTGGGTGATGAGGGAAGTCTACATTTTTGCTGACTGCTTTTCGCTTTAAGTTTTGAATTTTTGCCTTTGATCACTGCTTGAATCTGTGGATCAGTTTTGTATGCTTCTCTGGGATAGTGTCAATGATTCATTGATGTTTTGCCTTGAAGAACTTGATGCCAATAAAGGAATCTTAATTGCAGCTTGGATTTATGTCTTAAACAGCGGGCGCGTCAACAATAAATTCCCCTATTCAGCTGTTTGTATACTTAATTTGTTTGACAGTTGCCAGTACTTCTAATGCAAGAAGTGGGACACCTTTTCATTGCCTTCTCAGAACAGGTGTGGCATGACAACATGCATGTGCTTCAAAGAGTTTGTTACTGATGAAATGCTACAGAAAACTGCAGAACAAAAAATGTATGGTATACAAAAACGTTTGTTACGTAATGTAACCCCAGATTCTATGAGTATAGGCACAGCCCTTTAAGGCTATCGCTAGTGGTTTATCCCTTCGTGCACAGCACTGAAATCTTTAGTCCACACCCACTCACCCCCGGTCCATATAAATTACGGTGAGAAAGGGTAATCGGCTCCCAAATAGCTTTTTTCTTCAGCCATTTAGGAACCAGTGAGGCCCAGAGCTTAAAGGGCTGTGCCTATACTCATAGAATCTGGGGTTATAGTACGTAACCAACGTTCTATTTCGTATAGGGTTCGCCCTTTAAGGCTATCGCTAGTGGGTTAAAGGTGAAGCAGGATGTAGTCTATACCTCACTGGGTCCACTCAGACACAACATGAAGCACCTGCTTGCACAAAAAAACATTTCATCACTCAGCCTTCTGTGTGCGTAATTACGCGCTGCGTAATTGCATGCCCCAACCCAAAAATATCCTCCACTGTCATCCCTCCATGCAGAGCCATGGAGGATGAAAACCTTTTGGTGGAATGTGCTCTGAGATTCTCTGGAGGGTCCAGCTTAGATGAACTGTAAGCTTCAGTAATAGCCTCACACAACCAATGTGAGAGGCGGTGGGTGAATAGAGGGTGTCCTGAAGAGCTGTCCCTGTAATGCATGAACAGACGAGAACGGCGCAGTGTGGCCGTGTGCGCCACGTAACACTAAAATGCACGCACGGGACAGAGGAGGTGAGATGTTGCTGCTTCCTCTTCAGAATTATGAGGAGGAGGGTAAAACCCATCCAAGGTTATCACTCTCGATCTGAATGAGCTTGTGATGCTTTTCAGAGCAGGGTTAAAACGCAGTACAGCTGAACTGCCGTCAGCTTGAATTCTGAGACATGATGGAGCAACAGAGAAAGCAGATAATCACTCACTCTCTTTGCCGACATCAGAGCTAACAGAAAGGCTGTTTTAATGACAGAAATTTAAGTGAAACCTGATTTAAAGGCTCAAAAGGAGCTTTGATCAGAGCGTGCAGGACCATCATCACCTGCTGAGGAGACTGAGGTCTTTTGGAGTGCAGGGGGTGCTCCTGAAGACCTTCTTTGACTCGGTAGTGGCATCAGCCATCTTCTATGGTGTTGTGTGTTGGAACAGCAGCTTATCATCAGCTGAGAAGAAGAAGCTAGATAAGCTCATCAAGAAGGCCAGATCTGTGCTTGGATGCCCCCTCGACCCAGTGCAGGTGGTGGGAGACAGAAGGACTCTAGCTAAAATAACATCATTGCTGGACAACGTCTCCCACCCCATGCATGAAGCTGTTGCTGAACTGGAGAGCTTGTTCAGTGACAGATTACTGCATCCTAAATGCACAAAGGAGCGTTACCGCAGGTCCTTCCTCCCAGCAGCTGTTAGACTCTACAACCATCACTGCTCCCAACAAACTCAATAAGGATTAAATACATGCTGACCTCTGCTTAAACATACACTCTGCCTGTAATACTGTACTGTAAATAGTCTGCCATTCTCAATGTTCCAATACATATTGAACATTATTATTGATATTGTTTATCTTATTTCTTATATATTGTGTTGTTTATTAACATTTAGGAACTTTTGTGTGAAATCTTTAAATCTTTTAATCTTTTTATCCGTTGCTGCTGTTGCTGCTGATACACTGGAATTTCCCATCCGTGGGACAATAAAGGCTGTTTCTATTCTATTCTATTAGGTCCCACCGTGGAGCTAGTGGACGTGACACAGGTCTGTGTCTCTATACACCTTTCAGAAAACTCTTCATCAGTGGGTGGTTAAGAACTGTTCTGTCATTGAGAAACCTCATGACAGGAAGAAATAGCTGCAGCATAAGTTTTAATTGTGCTGGATGCTAATTTTCTGTCCATCAGTTGCTGTAGAAATGACAGCACGCCACCTAGTGGACATGAGATGGCCTCCACGCCTTTCTCTGCACAACAGCGCTGAAAAACTGTCCACTTGATGTGTACAGTGTTGTAGTGGAAGCAGCTTGTGTGCCCTGAAACGTACGCACCACATCCTGTGGGAGGCCCATCTTTTTCTAAATGGATCAGTTCAGCGGCCAGACCCAAAGGTGCTGACCTATTTCTGTGTAACTCCTGATCGCTCTTCCTACCTGGAGGAGACCCCCCCCCCCCCCCCCCACGGCAGTTTCCACAGCCGACCCGATATCAGTCGCTGCAGATTCAGGAACCACGGAGCGCTTAGCGCTCGGGAGCTACGAGGATGACTGACAGTTCTTCCTCCCAGACCTGATCCAGGGTCCGTGATATCAGCAGGACTGGAGAGAACGCATAAAGGAGTATTTTTGGCCAAGGGCTGTGAGCGAAGGTATCCACTCCTAACGGTGGGTCATCTCCTGAGCTCAGTGAGAACCATAATTGACACTGGGAGTTCTCCCGTGTGGCGAACAGATCCACTGCTGCTCGGCCGAACCTGCTCCAAAAACCGAGAGATCAGCTCGGGATGGAGGCTCTAGACTATGTGGCGGGGGCCGCCCCTCGACATGATATCCGCTCGCTTGTTCAGGACACTGGAAATGTACACTGCACTGATGAGGAGCAGGTTTTGTGTGCCCAACACAACAGCTGTTTCGCGATGCGTAACAGTTGTGCTGAGCGCACACCTCCCTAACGGTTTATGTAAACTGTCGTCACTTTGTTGTTTGTGTGGATCAAAAAATGCTGATCCCACAGCAGAGTGCAAAATGCTGAGTCATGTTTCAGACCATGAAAGCATTCTAGCACATTATGTAAAGCGACATGTGGTCCAGCCACTGTGCTCCCACTACTTGGGACAGACACATTCCTCCCAGCTTGACAGGAATGTGTCTGTGAAAAACTGAGACATGTGATGTTGGCCTGCTGATGGGAACTCCCTCTGACAGAACAAGGGTGTTTCCCCAGTGATTCAGATCAGTTCGCACAGAGGGGGGCACAAAGATAATCCGCCTCTTCTGGTGCACAGGATCTATGCGTAGGTGGGCGAACCATCTCTGAAGGCGTCTCATGTGAAATAGGCCCAGCGGAACCACGATGTGGGCCGCTGACACCGTCCCAGGAGTTGCATGACAGGCAGAACTGTCACTACACTGCCGGGTTTGACACGTTGGAACTGAACTTACAGGGCTTCTGCCCTCGGCTGTGATAAACGGGCTCTCATTGTGGTTGAGTTTAGCTCCACTCCCAGATAAACAATTATCTGCGACGGGCGAACAGAACTTTTCCCAGTTTATAGAAAACCCAGGTTTAGCAGGTGTAATGCTAACGTTTGGTCTGCGCAGCTGCTTCCTCTCTGGACTGATCTAATAAAAGCAGATCATCCAGATAAAAAAGAATTCTCATTCCTGCCATGTGTAACGGCTGCAGAGCCGTCTCCACGCATTTTGAGAACGTGCGTGGGGCGAGGGACTAACCGAACAGTAGCCTGTTGTACTGATACGGAATCCCCTGGAGGAGAAAAACGCAAGAATTTCCTGTGTTTTAGAATGATGGAAATGTGAAATGTGCGCTCTTCAGATCTATGGAGGTGAACCAGTCGTTCTGGTGAAGTTCTCCACCAGCTGTTTGATTGTCAGCATGTGGAATTGTCTCTCCATGATCGAATTGTTGAACATGGACAGGATAAGAATGGGTCTCATCCCTCCGGTTCTTTTCAGAACCAGGAAGTAGTGGGAGGAAAAAAGCCCCCATATTTTCCTCTCCGTTGGAAACTCTGGAAATCATGTTTTTCATCAGTAATTCCTGAACTTCTGACTGGAGAGAGAAGCTCAGTTCTGGAGAAGACAGGACCGTCTCTATAATCCCTCTGAACCGTGGGGGTTG